AACTTTATTAATATTTGTAAACAATCAGTTTTTGGTTTAATTGACTTTTCTCCATGACTTTTCTGATCTTTATCTTTCTTCTTTCAAAATACCATTTATATCTAGAGAAACTATTCTGAATTTATTATGTTCTCCTTTTTTGTGGTCCTTAAGGTAAAAGGTTAGATTGCTGATTTGAGATCTTTCTTTACTAAATTTCTTAATTTTTGACAGACTACTCTGTCACCCAGGCTGGAGTGCAGTGGTGTGATCATAGCTTACTGCACCCTCAGTCTTCTGAGTCCAAACAATCCTCCTACCTCAGCTTCCTGAGTAGCTGGGACCACAAGTGCACATCACCATGCCCAGCTAATTTTTTTTTTTTTCTTTGAGATGGAGTCTCACTCCGTTGCCTAGGCTGGAGTGCAGTGGCACAATCTTGGCTCACTGCAACCTCTGCCTCCAGGGTTCAAGTGATTGTCCTGCCTCAGCCTCCCAAGTCGCTGGGAATACAGGTGCCTGCCACCACACCCAGCTAATTTTTGTAGTTTTAGTAGAAACAGGGTTTCGTCATGTTGGCCAGGCTGGTCTCAAACTCCTGACCTCAAGTGATCTGCCTGCCTCAGCCTCCCAAAGTGCTGGAATTACAGGTGTGAGCCACCAAGGGTGGCTAATTTTTAAATTTTTTGTAGAGATGAAATCTCACTATGTTGCCCAGGCTGATCTTGAACTTCTGGCCTCAGTGATCATCCTGCCTTGGCCTCCCAAAGTGCTGGGATTACAAGTGTGAGCCACCATGCCTGGCCTCCACAAATTTCTGACGGCAATTTCAGGGGAAAAAGGACTTAAATCAAGTGATTGCTGTTAAATCTTAATAAGGTTTAAAATACAAAAAAAAACAAAAACAAAAAAAAACCCTTAATGAGGTTTAATATTTATACAGATAAGGATGTACATATTATCTGGGCAAAATACCATTTATATCTAGAGAAAATATTTCCAAAAAATTATTGGGACTTAAGAGAATTTGATTACTTTAGGTATCAAACACTCAGACCTTTATTCACATTCCTCTACTCCCACCCAATCCTTCCCCACCAAAAAAAATAGTGGAAGAAAGAAAGAAAGGAAAAATGTAGCACATTTTTCTAGGTATTAGCATCACAGCCGGTAACTCCATCTACTGGAAGGCTTAACAGGAAGAGGCAACTCTGGAGCCAGGCAGAACTTGGTCTGAATTCTGGCTGAGCTGCTTTAGCTGTGTGGCCATGATCAAGTCATTTAGTCTGTGTCCTTCAATCAGCTCATCTATAAAATGGGATAATGATTATCATAATAAAGGCCCAGCCTGGTGGCTCATGACTGTAATCCCAGCACTTTGGGAGGCCAAGGCAGGCAGATCTCTTGAGGTCAGGAGTTTGAGACCAGCTTGGCCAACAGGGTGAAACCCGATCTCTACTAAAACTACAAAAATCAGCCAGGCATGGCGGAACACGCCTGAAGTCCCAGATATTCAGGATGCTTAGGCAGAGAATCACTTGAACCCAGGAGGCAGAGGTTGCAGTGCACTGAGACTGTGCCACTGCACTTCATCCTGGGTGACAGAGTGAGACTCCTTCTCAAAAAACAAAAATCATAATAAAAATATCCAAGGTTTTCTTATTTGTAAAGTGAATTGTCTATACTCACTTTGCTGAGCTACTGTGAAAATTAAATGGGATGATTCATGTGAAGCACCATATTGCATAGCTCATAGTGGACGCTTAGTCTGTTTGGGCTTCTATAACAAAAATGCCACAGACTAGGTGGCTTATACACAACAGAAATTTATTTCTCACAATTCTGGAGGCTGTGAAGTCTAAGATTAAACCATGGGCAGAAGAGGTGAGTTTAATGGAGTGTGGAGTGTTGAGAGCCACCAGGAGCTGCCTCATGCTGTGGACTGATGTTCCAACAGGAGTCAGGACGGTCAAAATGAGCATGAAAGGTAGCCAAAGACTAACTTTGGAGGGGGTTTTATTCCTATGGGGCTCAGTGAAATGGAGCTAACAAGTCACCCTTTGTCAGACTGTGATTTCAGTTCCATATTGAGAAAATGGAGCAGTTCCCAGCTCTCTGCTGGAAGGAACAAGAGGTAGGAACAAGGCCCAGGCTGACACTGTGTGTTGGGTTTGGTAGTGGGAGATTTATGCCATTTGTGCGATGTGTGATAAGATGCATGAGGTGAAAGCGGCTGTTAACACTGGTTAACAAAAAAGTTGACCACCAGCACACACAGCCATTGTTTCCAGCAGCACTCTTCAGTGATGGGCTTTGGCTGGCTGGCTTCACAAAAGACAAATGCCATTACGGGAGACCAAATAACCTTATTTAGGCAGTTGTCAGATAATAGAAGCGTTCCAGGTATTAACCTGACTGCATTAGTTTGATTTGTTACTACTGTTCACCTTGTCCTGAGCATTAATGGAGACAAAGGCCTAGAATTACCAGGAACAGAAATAAGCTGTGGATTAGAGCCTACATGTTTTGAGGGAAAGAAAATTCTATCTTGGGTTTTTCTTTCCATTTGCATTTTGCTTGATTTTTCCTGAGTCCAGTTTCACCCCCGAATATCATTATATTCTCTCCAACTTTCTAGCAATTGTAAATCCAAAAATGTTACTGATTCATTATTTTTTTTAACAGGATCAGCCTTTATCTTTAGGTTTTTAGAAAAGATTTTAGGGAAAATATACTAGCGATCTTTTATATTATCCTGCTTTTTGAATATTCTTATATATTATGAACTTGCTTCACAAAAGTTATGATAGAACTTATATTTTGTTATTAGTATCGAAAAATATAAAAACAGACATAGTTGTTTAATATTATAAATTCTGGTTTTAATTTTTCTGACATAAATATTATTTGTTATAAATATATCATTTCTATTATAAATGATTTCAGTTATAAATATGTAGCTTCAGTTATAAGTTTATAACTAGTTATAAACACAATTTATTTCAATTATAAATAAAATTGAATTTCAGGGCCACATAAATCAGTTACACAAAATTGTCATTGGAAAATACTGAGATAATGATAGTCTAGAGTTACTGCTATGTTTCTCTCCTCACCAGATGTTTTAGAGGTATGACTAGTTTTTATAATTAAAAAAAAAAAAACTTAAGTGCATTATTAGTTGTTGATCACTATCTGTGATGGTGTTTCATTTTTCTCTAGATTCTACAATTTTACACAGAATCTTCACATTCCTCAGGGATTTGAGAATTATGTTCAATTGTAGAAATTCTAGATAAGCTATGATTACTCTGAATAATCTCAATTTATGAAAAGCACTACTTCAAAAATACTTAATATTAATATTGTGGAATTATTTATTATTGTGTATAAGACTTGAAATCTTATCCTAAACCAAGCAGACATTCAGGAGACAGAGCTATAATTCTGACATGGCAGGATGTCAGAGATGCAAAACAGAATGTCGAATATGATCACATTTTAAAAAATAATAGCAAAAACAACAAATATGTGTGTGTTTATATATAAAAAGATGCTTTTATGATACACAAAAAGGTCTATAAAGATGTTTAATGATGGTTATCTCTTAAGGATAAGATTCAAGGGGGATTTTATTCTACTTTTATACTGCTTACACATTGTTTGCAGACTATCGAATGACAATAAATTTGGAATTAAAATAAAAGCTTACTCATCATGTGACACATTCCCCTCCAACCCATTCCCCGAGAGTCTACTCCTGGTAACTTCCAGTCTTCCAATTTAGCATAATTTCCTAGTAACCTAATGGAGAACAAAGAAAACTCTTTGTGGATAAATTTTAACTAATACATTTCATAAATAGTGCTTCTAATTTTTATGTGAATGGAAGCAGCTCTTTATATTGGGAAAAGTGGCCCAGTCTTTTTTGGAAAACATGTAATGCCTTTGTTCTTCCTAACTGCCCTGTTGCCTTTCTTTTCCTCCTCCCTCTCTGTCTCAGCAACAGTAGAATATTGCTGCTTATTGCTGATCAATTGTTGGGACACATAGCTCTGTACCCCAAATGTGCTCTCAGTAAATAATTTTAAAAAGCTCTAAAATCTGAGTCATGCTGCTTTTCCTTAGAAATAATATGCAAACTCCCTCTAGTCTTTCATGTATAAAAAAATATATAGTGGTTATAGATTCAATAACTCAATGAGAACCTCCCACCTGATCATCACTGGGACATCATAAAGGACAGAGGATAGAAAGAAAAGAGAAGCAAGGGAGAATTCCATTCAAATGGACGAAGCTGAAATTTGGCTTCCAGTGGACAAAGTCAGTCGTAAGCTAACATTTCAAAAAAAGAGAGAACAAAAAGACTCACTTAGGTATTCGATTAACTAGAAAACAAATACTTACATTTCCAGTGGAGAGGGTTCCCTTCTTGTTATATATCTTATCCTATTCCCATCTTTAATTGGCAGGTAAAATGGGAAAATGAGAAATAAAGACACATAGTTTTTGTTACTTAGAAAGCATCCTGATTGTTTCCAGTGACTATGTCAGAGCGCTTACAAAAGGTAGGTCAGTTATCCTGCCTTCTCAGTCAACCTAATTTTGTAGTTGATTAGAAATCATTAAACTGGAAATAAATATAAGCTAGATGATTACTATCACTTTATGGAATGAAAGTACAAAATTAAACTAGAAAACTATTTAAAATTTTGCATTTTTTTGTAGCTTAATTTTTTGTTTGTTGCTTAATTCTTCTGTGCAATTCAATACCGATGGCATGTAATATGATAGCTGATGCTTGTATATTTCTGCTTTAGCATAATGACTTGGCTTGAAAAAAACTTGAAACTAACACTAACAATTTGTTTTGATAGATGGTGAGAAATTCTCACTGCTTTATGCTATTAATCAAGAGAAGTTGAAGATTTGTCAATAAATCATAATCTATAATATAGTTAAGCATAATCATGTTCCAAATGTTCATGAAGGAAACTAATGGAAACAACTCACATCTTTGCTCTTCAGATTATTTCACTTGAAATACTTTACAAATAGAATCCAACTTGTGGAATCACTTAGTCATGAGTCTATTGATTTTAACAAACTAATTTATTAGGTTAAGTTTGCTCACTTAAAAAATAGCAATCTTTTCTGAAAATGATTATTAAAATATATAGGAAAGGTCTTTACTACAACTAAAAGTGCCCAAATATAATATGTACCATGCTATAATAGTAATTATTTACAATATATTTTCGGAAAAAATGACAATATGCAGATTAAATGCAGGAAAAAAAATCACATTTTAACACTTAATATTTCCACTGATTCTTCACGCTCTGCAACTAGAAGACAATTTCACTTGTTTAGTTTTCTATCTATTCCAGGAGATTTGCGTTGAAATTTTTTTTCACCATTAGAAACTGTGATTCTCTATGGGACCTTTTCAGTTTTGCACGCCGATTTTGGAACCAAATCTAAAATTAAGGAAAAATAAAATAGGTCTCAGAAAGATTATTTTATTATTTTTAACATTTCAACCATCAGGAGTAACAACTAAATTTGAAAATTACCTGGATTCTGTCTTCCTCTAGATTCAACTTTCGAGCTAAGTCTTCTCTAATGTCAATGCCAGGATAGCAGTTTACTCTAAAGACATTTTCTAACACTTCAATCTAAGAATAAGAAAATAAATCTTTAAAATGTTGCTATTCAGTATGTCACCAAAAATGAGCTTTAATTTCTGGAGCAAAATGACTGCATTTAAATATTGGCAATTAATCTGGATGCCTTTTTAAAAATGATTACCTGGAAATAGTTAAAATATGACAGTCTATTGTTTCATTAACAAGGCTTCTAAACTGAGATACCAAAGTGAATGGCTTTTGCTCAACTTGGTGTCAATTAAAACCTTTTATTATCATTATTGGGTGAAAAAACTTCCCACCTGGTTTTGAGTAAAAGCGGTTCTTGGTCTTCGGCCTCTATACCAACTCAACTCTCTTTTCAAATACAGTCTTTCTGAGGCTGAAAAGTAATTTTCATATTTTGAAGTTCTTTCTTCTGGTATTGGGTGATCCACCATGCTAGGGAATGAAATCCCACAGGGAGGATTTGGGACATGTAGACATAAGTTACCATCTTTCCCTAAAAACAGAACAATAAACCCCATTTTAGATGGTCAATCTTACGTTTCACAAAGCTCTGTAAGAGGTAGTTTCAGGAACTCATCTTTCATTTCCTAGTGGAATTCTTCTGAGTTTCACAAGAGAATCAGCCCCCATCAACCAAAAACTGAAAACCAATCAAAAATGAAGATCCTGTCTTGGTAATCCTGCCTCTTTGGTCTCTAAATGTTTTGTTTTTCAGTGAAAAGAGATTTCAAATATCTGCTGTGTCAAACACAGAGAGAGATCTTCTGAAGTAAACGCAGGTTTTTGGCATTTCCTGTGATTGAACTTCATATCCACTTTGCTCCATCCCAAACTGATAGATTCTTTTCATTTCCCATAGGCCTCAGCTAGAGGCTTTAAAAGTTCTAGACTCTGGCTAGGCTCACCTGTAATCCCAACACTCTGGAGCCCGAGGCAGGCAGATCACCTGAGGTCAGGAGTTTGAGACTAGCCTGTCCAACATGGTAAAACCCCATTTCTACCAAAAATAGAAAAATTAGCCAGGCATGGTTATGCATGCCTGTACTCCAAAGTACTCAGGAGGCTGAGGCAGGAGAATCGTTTGAACCAGGAAGGTGGAGGTCGCAGTGAGCCGAGACTGTGCCATTGCACTCCAGCCTGGGCAACAAGAGCAAAACTGTCCCAGAAAAAAAAAAATAGAATAGAATAGAATAAAAGTCCTAGACTCCATGTAGTATGAGATAAAGGGCAAAAAACAAACACTGTAAATGCAATAACAAATAATTGAAACAATGAAGTCGTGGCATACCTGAGGAGCTGCAGGTGTCTGCCCAGGGCCTGTGGGGTTTCATTAATGGAACACAGTCTGTCTTCTGGTCCATTCCTAAGATTCTCTCAATTGAAAAGGAGCAAGTTGAGGGTTTGCTTTCCCGAAGCTGAGCGCCTTCCTGAAGGCTGGGAGACATCCTCTCGTGGTCTGTGCAGAGCAACAGCTCTGGCCTCTGCTGGCTCTGCCCAACGTGTATAAGGCTGGGATCTTCCTGCAATTCACCTTATAGCTACGCTGACAAGGGGGCTGGATTTAGAACGTCACTAATTAAAATCCTGTCTTAGAAAGTTTTAGCATGTCAATGAACACTTGCCCAGCCAGAAGCTTAAGGAGTTAATTGTTTATTTGTTTGCAAGTAATTAGCAACTAATGGCTACACCAGGGGGGCCACCTACTGGGACAAAAAGTGTTATCTCTCCTAAGCAGAACACAGACTTAACTTTCTCAAAAGAAGTGATGCACAAATGTGGCATTCCTCTTTTATTTGAAGTCATTAATGTATAAAATCATGCTTTTTATTCTAAAGTTTATACTTTCACGGGCTCCAGTTACCTAAACATACAGGCAAGATACAAGAGCAGCCGAGTAATAAATAATCTAATTTAAGTGAATTTTCTTCCAAGAAAATTGGAAAAAATAATCTCTTAATGCTATTACGGTAATTCTGATGAAAATGCCTGTTTTTCATATGCATATGTAATAGGGAATGTTGTCATTGAAAACACAATAGTATTTGGAGTGCAGCATAGTGGAAAAGGTTGGCAATGATATTAACACGGAGTGTAATTGTCTTCCAAGTGCCTGGATTAATTCATAGGAACAGTTGCACCAAGTATTTTAAATAATTAATGGGCTAATTCCTTTCCTTCCTCTTTTCTTTTAAATGAGAGAGATATGAGTTTATAGGAAGGTTCATATGCAATCACCTCCAAGCAATTTAAAAGCATGACTACTTAAAGAGAATAATTTCTCTATAATGGTTATTTTAAAGAAAAGAACATAGTTTACTTTTAAAGAAAAATTTCCCACTGTTGATCTTTTGAGGGATGGGCAAAGGAGGGAGTATTTGAAGATGATAAGGCTTGTGAAAATAACCAAGTACAGATTGTTTTAATTTCATAATCCCAAGAAAAGTATAACTGATGATTGGGAAGATTTTGAACTGGCTGTTTCCCACAAAAGGTGTACTTGTAGTTCTTGTACTCTGCTCCTTCTCTTCTTCCAGTACCTTCCTGAAGATAAATTTAAGTGCTTAGCTTTATTCATTATTTAAACAACTGCTGGACTTTCCTTCAGGGAAGAGGAATAGCAGTCTCCACTCATACCAGAAACAGCCTCTATAGGATGGTGCTTATCTTCATCAGCTTTTATCCTATCATGATCTCACAAATATTGAGCTAAATTCTTCCTCATGAAAGCTGTCAGGTAAATAAAGGATGTCACATGCAAAACATCAACAGGCACACGGATTTATAAATACACGTGTAAAACCATTCTGTGGATGAATAAAGCAGTGAACATTTACACCTCATGGAGATTTTGTATATAGCGCTGAGATGTAGATTGTGCAAAGGTGGGGGGTATCTTAATCTGCGACGACTAGGAGGAAGTGAGAGAATACAGGACCTTCGCAGCTTTCTTTCTTTGAGACATTCATTATTTCCTTCTACAATTGGCTGAGCACCTACTCAGAACCAGAAAACAAAACAAAATACTATCCTTGCCTTCATAGGGCTCACAGTGGTGCAGAGTGGGGGACAGGAAGCAAATAATAATTATAGGTAAATTATTTAGTACTTTAGCCAGGATAAGAATGGGAAAAGGAAACAGGTGAGCCAGGTAAGATGAATCCGTGCAGAAGGTGGGAGAGTAGATGTCAGTGTAGGCCTCACTGAGCCCCTAAGCCCCACAGGTGAGTGTCTCAGAGGCACAAGGCAGAAGGATGCCACAGCGCACGCCAGGGCAACTCCAGCTCTCAACTTCCTTATTAACAAATATGTTCCAGTATTTTTATTCAACTTAAATTTATTTTCTTTGGATTTACATAATACCATTTTATATATGGATGAGTAGATGAAAATTAAAGGCAGTAAAAATCATCTAAAAATGTGAGGGAAGTCTTTTCTCATATACTCCCCAACAGATTTTTTTGTTTGTTTGTTTGAGACGGAATCTCGCTCTGTTGCCCAGGCTGGAGTGTAGTAGCGTGATGTCAGCTCACTGCAACCTCCACCTCCTGGGTTCAAGCAATTCTCCTGCTTCAGCCTCCCCAGTAGCTGACATTATAGCCACGAACCACCATGCCTGGCTACTTTTTGTATTTTTAGTAGTGACATGGGTATCACCAGGTTGGCCAGGCTAGTCTTGAACTCCTGACCTCAAGTGATCCACCCGCCTCAACCTCCCAAAGTGGTGGGATTACAGGTGTGAGCCACCATGCTTGGCCTCAACAATTTTTATAGGGCACTTAATATGTGCCAGACATTATTATAGGTACTAGAGATCAGTGATTAACAAAACCGTGGCGTGATAAATACACTGAAAGGAGTGAACAAGGTGACAGGGATGCAACATAACGGGAGAGAGTAACTTTTTTTTTTTTGTTTTTGAGACGGAGTTTCGCTCTTGTGACCCAGGCTGGAGTGCAATGGCGCAATCTCGGCTCACCGCAACCTCCGCCTCCTGGGTTCAGGCAATTCTCCTGCCTCAGCCTCCTGAGTAGCTGGGATTATAGGCACGTGCCACCATGCCCAGCTAATTTTTTGTATTTTTAGTAGAGACGGGGTTTCACCATGTTGACCAGGTTGGTCTCGATCTCTCGACCTTGTGATCCACCCGCCTCGGCCTCCCAAAGTGCTGGGATTACAGGCTTGAGCCACCGCGCCTGGCCGGGAGAGAGTAACTTTAAGTACAGTGGTCAGTGGTCAATGGTGGAGGAGGGCCTGAGGAAGCGGCATTTTCACTGAAGCTGAGCTAGCATGCCAAGCGCCTGAAAAAAAGCACTGCACTCCGAGGGAACAGCAAGTACAAAGGTCTTGCAGTTGAAAAGCACTTGCAGCCGGACGCAGTGGCTCACACCCGTAATCCCAGCACTTTGGGAGGCCAGAGCAGGTGGATCATGAGGTCAGGAGATTGAGACCATTCTGGCCAACATGGAAAAACCCTGTCTCTACTAAAAACTCAAAAATTAGTTGGGTGTGGTGACAGGTACCTGTAGTCCCAGCTACTCGGGAGGCTGAGGCAGGAGAATCGTGTGAATCTGGGAGGTAGAGGTTGCAGTGAGCCAAGATAGTACCACTGCATTCCAGCCTGGTGACAAAGCGAGACTCCATCTCAAAAAATAATAAAAATAGGCTGGGCGTGGTGGCTCAAGCCTGTAATCCCAGCACTTTGGGAAGCTGAGGTGGGCAGATCACCTGAGGAGTTCAAGACCAGCCTGGCCAACATGGTAAAACCCCATCTCTAAAAAAAAATAACAAAATAAAGAGAAAACCTCTTGAAATATTTGAGGAGGTAGTGGTACCAGGTGCATTTGGAGAGCCAGGACAGGCTGGATAATGGATGGCCTTTAAAGGACATGGTGAGGAGTTCCAGTGCAAAGAGAAGCCAGAGTAGAGTTTTAAGCTGGGACTGATATAATAGCATTTATGTTTTTAAACCTTACCCTGGCTGCTCTGTGGAAAGGGATTAGAGAGAAGTGAGTGTAACCAGGGCGATCAGTTTGGAGTTACTTATTGAACACATTATTTACTAAGCATATACTACCTGCTAGGTATTGTTCTAGGTGTGAGGGATACACTGGTGAAAACACGCTTGTTTAGAGGCAAAAGATGATGATCATTTGACAATAGGGTGAGTAGAGAGGGTAGGTTTGGAGAGAAGTGTAATTCTTTTTTTTTTTTTTTGAGACAGAGTTTCGCTCTTGTTACCCAGGCTGGAGTGCAATGGCGCGATCTCGGCTCACCGCAACCTCCGTCTCCTTGGTAAAGGCAATTTTCCTGCCTCAGCCTCCTGAGTAGATGGGATTACAGGCGTGCACCACCATGCCCAGCTAATTTTTTGTATTTTTAGTAGAGACGGGGTTTCACCATGTTGACCAGGATGGTCTCTATCTCTTGATCTCGTGATCCACCTGCTTTGGCCTCCCAAAGTGCTGGGATTACATACGTGAGCCACCATGCCCGGCGAGAAGTGCAATTCTTTAGAAGGTTATGGGAGATTGAGAAATCGAACACTTGGTCCCAATTCTTCAATCCCCATAATATCATATATAACCATCCCGTTGCTGTGGTTTCGTGGTGGAAACAATGTACTTCTCACCTCCTGATTTTAGGCTTGACTGGCCAATAGGAAGTGATGGGAGAAGAAGCTCGGTGTGCCCGCTTGTGTGTGTGTGTGTGTGTGTGTGTGTGTGTGTGTGTGTGTGTTTTAATTGACATAGTCTCATTCTGTCCCCCAGGCTAGAGTGCAGTGGTGCAATCTCTGCTCACTGCAACCTCCGCCTGCCAGGTTCAAGTGATTCTCTTGCCTCAGCCTCCTGAGTAGCTGGGACTACAGGCGAATGTCACTACACCTGACTATTTTTTTTATTTTTAGTAGAGACGGGGTTTCACCATACTGGTCAGGCTGGTCTTAAACTCCTAACCTCAAGTGGTCCTTCTGCCTCAGCCTCCCAAAGTGCTGGGATTCAGGCATGTAATTTGTATTTTTAGTAGAGATGGGGTTTCACTATGTTGGTCAGGCTGGTCTCAAATTCCTGACCTCAAGTGATCTGGCCACCTCATCCTCCCAAAGTGCTGGGATTACAGGTGCCCAGTCCCATCTTGTGCTTTTGACTTCACTATGAGATCACCCCTGGGACAGCCGCTGCCCTTCAGCCTGAGCCCCAGAATGAACACACATGGATCAGATTCTAACTCATCCTATATCCTGCAGTCAAGTCAGCCAAGCCCAGCCAATCTCAGTCAAATACCAACTGACCAGCAGTTTTGTGAGAAAAATATTCATTGTTTAAGTCACTGAAGTTTTTTCTTTCTTTTTTTTCTTTTTTAATTTTTAAAACAATCTATTAGAGATAGGGTCTCACTATGTTGTCTAGGCTGGTCTTGAACTCTGGGGGTCAAGCAATCCTCCTGCCTTAGCTTCCTGAGTAGCTGTGACTACAGGTGCCAGCCCTTACTGACTCCACGGAGGTTTTTGTGGTTATTTTATACATAGTATTTTGGAGGAAAGAGCTCTTTGATTCA